GGTGTCAGAAAACGTTCTGCCAATGGAAAGTAACATTAACTTTACATCAACTTTGCTGCAATGTGCAAATCAGTAACAGAACAAGAGACAAAACATTATGAATGTTCACAGGGTAGCATCTGAAGATATCTAGCAGTTAAGTTGTAGACTGATGACTTTCCAAATAAACACATCGTCACGAAAAACATGAGACACACATGAAAACACACTTCTGAATATTCTATTCTATTTCTGCCTTAAACCATTTCTCCTCTGTTAGAAGGTTCCTCATGCAAGACGACCAAAATGTTTCATCGAGCCTCAGGAGAAGCTGCTCTATGTTCGCTCCATGTATGTGATTCTAATGAACACGTGAGAGCAGCAACTAAAAGTGAACCTCGATATGACTGTTGTCAAGTTCTGAATTAATTTTGCATCAAAATGTTCTGTTTTGAAAAGTAGGTGATAAAAACAGAATACAATATGACCCATGAGATTCAGGGATATTCTTTGACAGTGTCACAAAGAGCATTTGAACTATAAAGACACGAGACAGTGAAGGTTCATCACATGTTGCCACTCTTTTGTCTCTGGGCTGCTGTCACATCACAGAGGTCGTAGTCATCACGAATTGGAGATTTCATTCGTTTCCTCAGATCTGATATACACGAACCTGGCTCACTTAAAACACCGCAGGTGGCAGACACACATGAAGGTTGGTTAGAGATCTGTGGATTTTTAACCACATACAGTGAATCTGAATGGAAATCACTGTTACACACTGTATAAACCCTCAGTGTGTGTTTTTCAGTGTGGTGTCTTGTACGAAGCGGATCCCCGAGCATCTGTCTGCAGTCAAATCGCTCCGCTTGGGAAGAGAACAGGCAAACATATGCCTCTGTATACTGTGCGTGGGCAGCCCGGCTCCTATCAGATAGTGCCATCTAATCTTCCAAGGCACAGTAAACACTGCCAGTCTCCTCCTCTGAGGCCGTCTCTTTCAAAACATAAATGTGTTTTATTAAACCAAAATACAGTAAGCTCTTACTTATTCATGAACATTAGCCCAGTCTGGCCCCAACAGGTTTGTCATATTCATTTCTGTGCACATACAGAGCTTTTGGGACTCAAATAAAAGTACAACCACTACTATTTAACGTGACTTAACTACACCCACTGCTGAAATTACCCAAAAATGTATGTATTGACAAAGGTGGCAGTGGATGCTGATAATTTTGCTCTTCTCTCACTTCGGTTTTCAAGCACCCCTTTGCAGCAGGATCTTTCTGTTGCAGGCTGCATGTAATTTTGTTTCTTATTTTTATTATATTTATACTTACACAAATATACCACAGCAAATTCCTTGTATGTGTAAACCTGCTTGGCAATAAAACCCAATTTCAGATTCTGATTTTACTATAATTGTGCCAGATTATGCTCTCAGTGGCAAATGGTTTGAGCCTTACTCGTGTGTACATGAGGGTGGACTAGCTTAACATGTGAGTCTGAACATGTTTTATGTTCATTTGATAATAGTGTGGGTCATTCAGACATCATTGTGGCTGTGGTTTTCAGTGTATTGAGCTGATTCTATTAAAGAAACAAGGGACGATGATTTTGAACTAGAAGTTTGACAAGATGTGTGTATTCTTGTGGTAAAAATGGTTCGACTCAGGAGATTGCGCACGCTTTGAAACACATTGAGACTTAATCTTGCAAAGTCCAATTTTCCCTCAAGCATTTTTCAGATGCACATGAAAACTTCACGATTCAGAGCTGAAAACTAATTTGTGAGAGGAACCACTTTACCCCAGCAGCTCCTCTGCAGCTCACATGGAAATGACGGCTGAAAATTACAAGTTAACTGTGAAACAGCTAATAACAGTGTGCAGGTATTACGTGTCTCTTTCTGATAAGGGTTACCTTACATAACCACTTATGATTCATCTTTTCAGAGGAGCTTAAAATATGAATATTATGATAAAGTTGGTTTGATAAGGCACTATTCCCAAAGGTCTATCATGCCTTATAGACAGTAGGCAATTTGTGGAGGGATGAGAGGTGAGGCCTTTCCATTTAAAACAAAATTACTATAAATTCATCCCACTTGGTAACCTGGCAATTCTGCCGTCCCTGGAGTGCTGCATGTACAGATATAGAATCTGTGTGCGCAGGTTAGAGTCCTATAGTAAGTGCTGATAACTAAATGGCAGGATCAGCAGTTTCATTTTTAAAATTAAAACTGAATGGCATAGAATAAGAGCGCAAAACTCTTTGCCCTGTTTTACATCTCTCTCCCACACTAACACACTGACCATCAGCAGCATGGAGAGAATTCATCTCATGTCGGGGGCTATTAAAACATCCATTCAGGTTTTACTGTCTTTGGAGGCAGGAATGATACATTTGGAACATGTACCGCTTAAAATGAGATAATTAAAGAATCACCTACTGCTTATAGATCAATAATTCTATCTGGATTACCTTTTACAGGCTTTTTGTTCTGTATCGTCCATAGTCTGGCACTTTAATTTTCTCGGGCAGGGGCCTTGCAGCTTTTCGTGACTCTCAGCTGGAGACAAAATGGAATAGAGATTTTAAAATGAACAGCTCAGAGGCTCTGAAACACCTTAGTTAGTGGCTTCATTTAGATTTAGGATTAATGCGTGCTTCTACTTTTTTGTTTATGGATTTATCCATTTACATTTTTTTAATGTGGTTCAGTTTTTTTAATGTGGTTCAGTGTTTACATCTGTTTCTATGTTGTGTTTTATGTAGAACTTGCTTATGAGCCAAAGCTTTTGTAACTTTGTTTTCAGAAGTACTGTATAAATGAAGATATTACCATGAACCCTTTCATGAATGTTAATTATGAGACTGATACCGAAGGGCAGCACAAACAATATGAAGAAATGTCTGGCTTTACAAAAAGTCCTCAAGAAACAGTAAAATCACTGAATTATTATATTTATTTTACTTATTAAGATTGATTGTATCTAAACTGCAAAACAAGCTAAACTCTTAAGCCTTCTTTGTGTCTTAAGTCCGACCTCTCTGACCTCTCAGCCCACTCACTGTCCTTGGTTATTATCACTAAGAGCATAAAGTGCATCTTTGTCGCTCCCACAATATCTGCTCTCCTTGTAGTCATGTGCGGCTTAAGCGTCCGAATCCCCTCAGGTTGTCGCTCTTTTCCACATTTTACTCACGAGGGAGAATCAGTGCTTTAATAAGGTGAGGTAGCGTAGGTGGGAGAGGGTATGGCTGGAAGAAAGACCCCGGACAGTGGGAAATACTCTGTTTTGATAAATAAAAGTAGCATCATTGTTTAGCATTAGATCCAGTTCATTCTGGTAAATGTATTGTATTTATATTTAACTTTACTATTCTTGATAACCACTCAAAGTGTTTACAGTATAGTCTTTGTAACAAACTATTGATAGGATTGGCTCAGTCAGGGTGAACATGTTTACTTATACTGGAACACAAGTCGACTTCAGACTTAACTTTAGACTCGTCCAACCATGACTTGGACTTCAGTGCTGTGAGACTTCACTGTGTAGGCTACTTGTCTTGGTGCTGCTGCCACACAGAAAGAAGGTTCCGGTGATCTGGGGTCCTTCCGTGATGAGTTTGAGCTTGTGTTGTATCTTTCTCTAATGAATTGTATCCTCTCATTAGTGACACGTTATTTGGAAATACGACATATAATGATGTTCTTCTTACACCTCCATGTACTACTTCTGTCTGTCCTCACAACCCTGCTGTTCTTTAAGTGAGTGAAAAAGGAAAGGGAAAGTAATAATTCCTACATTTTCCCATAGTTCCTTAGGACACATATCAGTCTTCTTTAAATACACGAGGCTGTTTATTTTCTTTACTAACTATATCTTCTCCTGCCTCATAACTTTCAGACTCCAGGAAATGACATGGGACTTGAACCCAGTGCATTCATTATGACTCACACATGTACATTAATACAGCATTTATCATTCATATTCTACCTGAAAGACAAAATAAGAGCCTGACATTATCCCACACATTAATCAGACATTTTATTGAACTCCATGATCATAGATTTTAAAATTCAATCATTAAAAGTCACCCCATCAAAAACAAAAGAAAGAAATTCAACTTGTCAAAGCCAATGTTTCCTGCTGTTTTCAAAGAGCTTTTGGCACAAAGTACAAAGTAAGATCCTGCTGGGGAAGTGTGGGTGTGTTTTAAAGTGTGTTCTGCTGACAGGCAGGTTACAGGTCAATGATTCTATAAAGGGAAGAGAGCATTCAAAAATATCAATGAGGGAACAGTTCACACATCACACTTTACCACACAGGGAGATCATAAATCAATAGGAACCTCAGGTCTATGATACACGAACTCTGCTAGAGGCTATGGCAACATTATGCAGCGATGTGCGTTGGCTGACTTTATGTTTTGTTTTATGTTCTTTCTTAAGTTGAAAATGGTGTTTTTCCCACTGTGAGTTTGTTCTCTTTCATTCTCGCATTTGATACAAATCAGTCTGGTTAATTTTTTGGAATAATTTTTTTTCTATATGGTAAACAACATCCATGACAGAGAAGTTAATGGTTCATTAACGGTCTGCAGCCCTCCAAACTTCCCACGGTGCAGTTTCTGTAGTTTGGCGTTTCTTCGTGGTTTCCTTGGTGATGGACGGATGGGAAACTGCACAATACAACATCATCGCTGCCAGTCCAAATCGGGGCCCTGAACCCTGTGTGGTGACCGTCTCCGTATGTCTGTCTTCTAAACAGAGCATCTACTAATCATCGGTATGTGACATTGTTATCGTCTGCATTTTGTTCAGCTAGTTCTGTGTGCATCATGCGCCATCAGAGTTTCATTCAGGAGAGAGAGTGAGCTGAGTAATGAGACCATGGGTGTTTGATATGAGCAGAGGAGATGTCAGTTCGACAGTGAACCATCCGAATGATTATATAATATATATATATATGAATATAATTCAAATGGAATACACATCTTTTAAAATGCATGTATCCATATATCACACAGAAACAGAAAATGTTCTCATGAGAGAAATTAATTCCGTGGAGTACGGTTTTTTCGTCTTGACTGTGTTCCAAAGACATTCTGATAATCCAATGACAGACTCATGTCATGTTGTACATTTACAGTGTACACATACATATACATATGCATATATACACAAGCTGATGTCCCTGTGTTCCCGAGAAGAGTTCAGAGTAACTGTCTTGTTGTGTCCTGGTCAGAGTGTGAAAGAGATCTTCTGGACAGTTTTGCATTTTCTCACAGTCGAGCTGTTTGCTGAAGTAGGTGTTGGTTATTTTCCAAAAATCTGTTGTTAAATTCTTGTCGTATCACCACCACATCCAAAAAATCTTTGAGGCAGTTTCTCTCAATAAGGTGTATCTCTGCACCAGTCACTGCTCTGCTGCAGTTTAGATTCAGGAGAGCAGTTCAGCTCCTTGTCGATAGAAATGAAATAATTTGATTCGCACAGGCTTCATATCAGTGAAGATGTGTTGAAGCGCTGAGGCAGGACCTGATTTTAAAAATGTTCTCATTTTGCTCCAACTGCACACTACACCCGTTTTCCAAACATTACCACATCCTTTGGTCAATGAAGGTGAGAACGGGGCAAAAAGTACCTCTTGTCTTGAGTCTCGTGACCCCCACCCCACCCTGCATCATTCTGTTCACTACATAATCCCCTCGCTGCGTTTGCTCCTCCACACCACCAGGGCAGTCATGAGAAGCGTGACCAGGATGGGCACCACAATGAAGGGTCCCAGGATGCGGTTTGGTGGGTCCCTGAGAAGCCGTCCCGAGAGCGAGCAGTCGTGGAAGTAGTGCTTGTGCACTCGGATGAAGAACTCGTCCACCATGCGGTTCGGCCAGAAGCACTCCATCTTCAGCGCCACCAGGTACGTGCAGTTGGTCAGGTCACCGTACAGCCTGCACACAAGAGGAGGGACAGGAAGGTTCATGTTCTGCCTGCTCTTTGTCTTGTTATAGTTTTACAGGTTGTGCATTTTATTCTTGCTTTATTTATTAAATCAACATGTGGCTAATTAAACAGCAGTTGGCTTTCATTAAGTTATGTTGATTAATTTGTCTCGGACACAAAATCATAATTTGACTTGGCTGCAAATTATTTTTCACTCAGGCTTCTCTGCCTGAGTTTGGTGTCTCTGGAGGTTATGCATACAACCAATATTCCCTGAGGGACTGAAACAAGATACACCACATTTGTATGATAACGAGTGAAGAGACCCAAAGGGAACAATGGTGCCCAAAAAGTTGTCCTTTCTTTTAGACTGATGAAGACTTTTAGTGAAACATCATCAACAAACAACCAGGTTGCAGGGAAATTTGGTGCGCATGTTAATGGTCCCCAGAGGATGTTGTAAGACCTGTGATCTCCTGACACATATTTTAGTGCCACCATCTGGTCAAAATCTCCTTTTGTGCTTTCAGCCATTTCCCCGCAGCCCCAGCTTTACTTTGTGTTTATTGTAATTAACAAACATAAGCGCTTACACTCAAAATCAACGTGGAGAATATGGTTAATATAATCATTGCTTTGATTAAATACGATTTGTACGGAAGTGCTGAGGTAAAAGAGGTCTTGTGGCAGGTTGTCTCAGATGATAAACACTGTTAGAAAAGGAAGAGGCTCTTCTTCTCTTAGTTCACTCTCTGCACCTTGTGTGTATGTGTGTTGCTCCTCCGAGGTAATTGAGGTAATGACCCATGAATATTGGTGAGTACACAAAGGCCTCTCCATCTGCACACGCAACAGTTCACACACACACACACAAACGCACTTTTGATTGATTGAAGTTCATTAACAGCTCAGCCAGGCTGAGCCCATACTGTTCTCCAGTACATTGGGCTAATTATAGCTAAGGCTCATTGTTATTTCTCAGAAAAATAGGGGAACTATACTGTCAGGGGAAACTGATTATCACTGATCTAGATTTTACATCACATTAAGTATTCACCTACATATTCAAATAAATGACTGTGAAATCAATTTTTCTTCATCTATTAAAGTTACATTGATAACAGAAGCTCCAAACACACACACACACACACACACACATCTGCTTTGACTAAAGAAAACAGTTTCCCAGCAGATACAGAGTAAAGTACCATTAGAATTCACTTGGAGTGGAGTTTGAGGCACCCTGACTAATTTAAATCTAAATATTCACTCTCCTTGGAGCTCCACTTACGCTCCTGTGGGAAACATGCTCTGCAGCAAAATGCTCCGCTGTGTTCAGCAGCTAGTCGCTAACTTTGATTGTCTGCCATTTGTTGCTGGGCGGGAGCATGCAGCAAATTTGTCAGACCTTTTCTTTTTCCCTGAGGAAAACAGCTGCCTGCTGGAAATGTGGATAAAGAGAGCCATGAGACAGATTTGAAACAGTAAAACCAGAATGATGGTGAAACAATCTGTTGACGTGAAGATAAGTGTAGTTAATTATTTGTTGGTTTGTCCATGCCACTGAACCCCATTCAAATTAATATTAAAGTATCAGTTACTGCAGATTTATTATAGAAAGATTGTCTCTGGAAAATAAATTCTGCTTACACCCTCTGGTCAGATTTCATATGTTTAATTTTCTATGTCTTTTGATGCTGCGCCCAACATGACAGCTCAGCTGTGGTACGAGTGCTGCAGGGCAGCGTGGTCGCTTCGGGCGATCAGCGTCCTTCCTCCGCTGTCTCCTTGAAGTTTTACAAATCAGCTGAAAGAGAATTCTCCCGGTGCCTCTGCTGGCCTAATGAGCACTGATTTTGTTTGTGAATCGCTGAATGAAAGAAGTTGCTGCTGAGTCGAGACACGGGTGGTGAACAGAAAGAGTCGGGTACAGGTTCACCTCGTGTAGACGAGGTTGGCCTCGAATCAAACCCGACAGAGTGCGACGCCTGTGGAACAGAGTGTGTGAAAAACAATTCACCCGCTGCTCAATATTCTCTCCTGTGTAATTCCTCTTTGAGTCTACATCTTTTTAATCATCCGGTCTTATTAAACAGCGTGAATCAGCCTGTGTGGCTTCAGGCCGTTTAGCAATTCTGCACCTCGCAGTTTCTTTTTTGGAGAAACATCTTACACAGAGGTTTGTGCTGTGTCCTGACCTAACATGTAGGTTTACTGTGACTGAGACTCTCAGTGCTGCTGATGCACACTGACTGTGCAGCCACAGGGCAAGTGTTTGTGAGTATCTGTGAAGCAGAGCAAAAATTCCTCTATGTATTATTCATGTATTTCCCATAACCTATTCATAGTTCTTTTAAAATAAAGACAGAGTTAGCGGACAGGAAAGAGACAGATAAACTGAAAATGAGGCAGTCAGGAGGAGTGAGTAACATTTCATTGACTTATTGCGTAGGGGTGTGTGTGCTTCCCTCTGCAATTATACTGCTGAACCGCTAATGGCTTTAACGTTTCTATGCTGGTGTTGAGTGTCTTCCAGTTTCTGATCCGCTTATTTACAAATTCTCTGGCGTCTCTGTATACTTTAGAACAACAGTGTTACTTTTAATTCCTGTTCCTCTCACCACATCTCCCTCTCATGCTGACATCCTCCACATTAAGAACCATGATCAATACTGATCCCCACAGATCAGAGTTGTTGCCTCTTTAGCTTTTCTCCAGTTACAGTGCAACATACATGTCAAACAAATCAGGTTTCATTCACAGAGATCTTCATCAGTAAGCAGCAAGAGTGACAGGGCAGATGAAGTCCGCCCCTGCCTGAAATGTCTATTCCAGATTTGTCATTTATGTCGAGATCTGCATCTCCTGATAAGCATGATGACAGAGGACAAAATAATTGCAGGTGCATCAAAAAATAAATGAATAAATTGTGAACATAATAGTCGTATATCTGTTCTCTTTACTGGAGAGAAGGTGTATCTGTATCTTTGAATAAATCTGCAATACAGTGTGGAACTGATTTGTAGTTGAAGTTGTGCATATATGAAAAAGGAGGTTTCACAATAATACATCCAGGGCATAAATATGTTGTACTTTGTGCTGAAACCCTGCATCTTTAAAACAAACACCTAGTAATGTATTTATGTGCTCGAAGCTGGAAAAACAACTCGGTAAGATTTAGATTAGATGATATCATTTGGACAGATTTCCAGCTTCAGCTCGTCTCCTCGCGCTGCTTCAGTGCGTGTGTGAAACATCTGATTTATTGTGTGCAACAAGTCTGTCAAAAAGCTCCAACCAACAGAGCCCCTGAAGTCATAATTTAAAATAACTATTAACATTATTTTATTTTTTACCACTAAATAGTAGCTTCTAAGGTGTCAAGTTGTTGTTAAAACACATAAATGCAACACACTTTCTTTACAGCGTCCATTTTCCACATTTCGAGTTCAAAACACATGAACACACCAAAGTCAGAGAAATGAGTTCACAACTCGAGAAGCAGCAGGCAGATCCAGTGCCTCATTGACCTGTATTTATTATCAAACACGAGGAGTGTGAAGGACACATGCATCTGGACGAGGCAGAAACATGCTGTTTTAAGTAGTTTGATCTGTCGACTGCCGAGCACGGTGTGAATAAATAAAACCTGGATAATGAATAAATAAAAGTGACACAGGACACAGCTGCTCCAGTAACTTCAGGAAGGACTCCTAATTCCACACACTCACAGAACCAAGGGGGTGGAGGTAGATGGATGCTGTTATTTATTCAGTTGGCATTGCAGTATTAGAAGGTAATAAACACTTTATCGTCTGTAGCTTATTCACAATAGATCTCTGCAGCTGAAGTGTTGTCAGGAGAAAGTTAGGATGAGAATCAGATTGGTCGTTCAGTGTTTGCTGCAGATCCTTAAAAATCTTTTGAAAAATTGAAATGCACACATTACTTTAAAAAGCCTCCTCTCATTCTCACACAAGCTACAGCAGAAGTCGTGGAACTTTCTGTTCAAATGTTTCACCCACAATAAAATAATGTTTTTCTTTAAACCGATTTCGGTGTCACTGTCTATTTTCTGCTGCCTTTCAATTTTTTTTTAAAAGCCTGAAAAATAAACTTTGGTAAACCCACATGAAGCACAGAAAGGGAAATGATTTTCCTATTGTATGATATTGCCCTCCTGACAACCCGAGTCAGGAAGAGGTTCTTATTTAGCCGTGGTAAATCTCTATCTGAGGGAGGTGAAGCTCTCGGGTCATGCTCTGCTGTAAGGCGCAGGCCGAGGTGTTCACCCCCTCATTCATTTGAAAGAGGCCAGTCTGGCAGCAAAGCCGAGCTGCTGAAGCAGATGGGTCCTGCAAAATAAAATGCAGCTGTATACAACATGAACTCCTGGGAAGGTTAAGTCCGGACTTTCTCCTGAGTTTACCTTTCACACATGAATGACGCAGCTGGACATTCAGGTGAGGGGTGGTGCAGCGGGCAGAGGCAGGACGTAACGTATTAATTCAACTGCGGAGATCATGTCTTTTTGTTTACAGCACATTGATATCAGCCCTTATATGCAAAAATTATCTTGATATCTTTGTTGATGTCTTCGTCACCACTTTTTCTTCCTGAGATATTTGTATTCTCTTGGGGTTTTGAGTATTGGGGTTGGTGTGTGTCAGTCCAGTGTTAGAAACGTCTTCAATATGCCCACTTGCTTACAGTGAATTCTCTGGAGGACCATTTATTCTCACATGAGCTCATTCAGACACTATCCAGTTTAACAGGGACTGGCAGCAGAAATTAAATTCTGCTACCTATTCACATTAGAGGTGTTCCAATGCCATCATCAAACCAAACTGAAAACATTCCTTTTCCAGTGTCGTTTTGTTTATATTTTTATTACTTCCTATGTTTCTTATCATTTTATTTGTCTAATTATTTTTAGATATCCTCTGTGTCTAATCTTTACAATCTCCAAATAGTTTTGTGGTTTCGTTGACTAAGATTCTTTAAGGCA